TCGATCTTTGCGTATGTATGTATATATAGAGGGAGATTAATGGGTCGGGTGGGTCAAGAGGAGCGTGTGAGTTTGAAGAAATGGGAGTTTGATATTGGCATAAGACCATATTTAATTCTTGTAAAAGACTTGGAACTTTTTGTGTTTAATTGTTTTTTAATAGATTTCTTCCTCGGTTTTGGCATGTGAAATTTGAGTTTGGAAGCACCTGTCAAATTAACAACAGGTCAACACAAGCCCGCCCAAAAGGGTGGGCGATAGGGCAACCGTCCAGGGTCCATCTTTTAAAGTGACCCAGAATTTTTATGGAAATTGTTATATTTAGAAGATAGTACAAATATTTTTTTTTCCAATTATTGAGTTATTATAAAAAACTTAATGAAATTTATGTATTTTAAGGGCCCATTTTTTTTCTATCGCCCTGGGCCCAAAATATGTTTGGAACGGCCCTGGGTCAACACCAAGTGTGCAACTCGTACATCTATTGATACATGTTTCCGGATGTGAAGCGAACATAACTTTTACTAAAATGATGAAACCTACACAAGAATAACATGCATCATCAATAACCACAATTAAACAACATATCTTATCATCAATGACGTACACGACCTTTCATTGCACGTTGAATAAAAAAAACCCGACATAAAATGTCTATAATAACGAGTTTTTTATGTGGACAAAACCAATTTTGTACCAATACTTGTGTTAATTCACATACGTTATAACACCGTAAATTTTCAGACAAATTTTTCATTTTTAAAACACATAATTCTCAATATCACATTCCAAAAACCACAAGTGTCAAATTGTCAAAACACAACTTTCATAAATTGTTTGAAATAAAATCCAGGATCCACAAAACATAAAATTCATCTCATGCGTGTGTGATAATCAAGCCGACGCCTTCTCGCGATCCTGAGAAATACCTGAAACACATATCACATAACACGGTAAGCACGAAGCTTAGTGAGTTCCCCAAAATACCACACATAACTCAGTAGCCTCTCGTGGCTATATCTCAAATAAGACCCTCCGGTCAATGTGTCTCAGTGGAACCCTCCGGTCCTACAGCTCGGGTGGACCCTCCGGTCCTAACTCAGTGTAGCTCAGAATAATACACAACATAAATCACAAAGACATAATGCATGATATCACAATACTCAATATAAGCATACAAGACCCTCCGGTCACACATGGTTACCACTCAAGGTAAGTATAGCGAGATGACTCACCTCGTAAGCAAGCAAATGAATCTCGTACACGAAACACCGATCTAGCCTCCGCCTAACACATACGATAATTATCTGTAATTAACACTTAAATCACAACTCTAAATAAACCAAGCTATTTTCTCTCTTCAATCTCTTGGAATGGATAAAACACCATTTTACCCCTCCATGGTCTCCCTATTCTCTGTCTTGACCAACCCTAAAGTCAACAGAAGTCAACACTCGAGTCAACAGTCCATGTTGACCCGCCTCGTCGAGTGCATTTATGTGACTCGTTGAGTTCCCTTGTTCCTTCAGAAAAGTCTCGGAAACCCAACTTAACTCGTCGAGTTGTCTCATCAACTCGCCGAGTTACTCATGTCCAGACTCATCGGGAAAACCCTAGCCGACTCGTTGAGTTCGCTCCTCAACTCGGTGAGTCCCTTAAGTCTCTTTTCTCATTTAGACGTTTTAAGGCAGATTCATAACCCCAAACTCTAGATCTAGCCTCCCAAGGCTGATATACCATGTAAAGCTGCAAGCTTTACGTCCATGCATGACACTTAGGGCTTGAAATGCCAAAACAACTTCCAGTTAGGGTCTTAATCATGAAAGATCTTCTTTTAGCTAGATAAAGCTGGGACCTTTGGACTTTAGGGACCTCACAAGGTCCAGATCTGAAGTCACAATCTCTTGGTAAGCTCAACACACTCAAAGCCTCAAGGAAAGATGGAATAAGCCCTAAAACTCCATAAATTAAGATCTAATCAAACTAATGAGCAAGGTGGAGACTTTTTACCTTCAACAGAAGCTCTAGATGAAATAACACCAGATCCAACAGTCGCCACTCGTTCCTTGCTTGGATTCTCCACTCTTCTCTTCAAAAAGTTCACTAAAATGCCCAAAGACTAGCTCTCTCTCTTAGCTCAATATAGGCGATCAGGGTTTCACACAGGGGAGTAAGGTGGCTGGTGAGGCGGAAATGAGGGCTTAAGGTCCTTTAAATAGGACCCAACCCCAAAGAATTAGGGTTTCCTCTCACAGCGCCAACTCGTCGAGTTGGTCATAAAACCCACGCAGCCAAATCTCTTCTCTCTACTCGACGAGTTGGGGCCTCCAACTCATCGAGTTGCTCATGAAAATCATAAAAATGTTAAAAATATTTTACCTAGAAACTGGGATGTTACAATTTTCCCCCACTAGAATCAGACTTCGTCCTCGAAGTCATGCTCTGGAAACAACTCTGGGTACTGCTCGCGCATCTCGGACTCCGACTCCCAAGTCCACTCGGATCCCCTGCGGTGCTCCCACTGCACTTTAAACAGTCGCACCTCCTTGTTCCTCAGGGTCTTAACTTTTCTATCCAAAATTGCTATCAGTCTCTCAATGTAATTCAGGCTAGCATCTACCTGAATGTCCTCTAAGAGCCGCTAAACAGGCTACCCACCCCCTTTCCACACTCACCATTCTCACCATTCTTACAAGGTCAAGCTCAAACATCGCCCAATTCAAGAAACAAGCTCAATGATATCTGACAATAGTGATTAAATTTTTGTAATGTATTTGGAAGACCTTCACTCCAAGATTTTATCAGATCCAATGGCAGAATACATCGTTAAAAGCATAAAAAAGATGTGTAGGAGTGTACAAGAAGGGGATGAGGTTTACTAGTAAGGTGAAGTATTTGAAGGTGATGTGATGAAGAAGGCCATAATGGAGGCATGTTTTTTTTCTAGAGCGTTGTTTACCATGTGTCTATGTGTCTGGGAGAGGGAGAGAGAGAGAGAGAGAAAGAGAGAGAAATTAAAAGAGAGCAATGGTATAGTAAGTGGGTGTGGTAAGCGGTAGGGTTGGTTTTTTATTTCTTAATTACTAAAGTAATAAACTATAAATAAAAAAAAACAAAAAAGAAAACAAAAAGGATAAAAACTGCCTTTTTAATTTTTCAAGGATTCATGATTCTAAACCTTTCATGCAAGTTAGAAACTTTTTGTACCCTATTTATAGTTTTTTACAAACCATAGGAACCAAATTTGTAGTTTTATCTTAAAAAAAAGAAATAAAGGAAAAAATCAACCAAATAATGATATAACAAAGTAAGTTACATGTTATCGTATCCTTGAATCCGTATTTGGTTCCATGAACGAGCGTCGCGTTCGAACGTGTCACGTCCATATATTGAGTTTGAGGTTTTTGTTATTAACGAAGTGAGTGATGAAAAAGTGTATGAAAATTCTACGGGTTGATGAAAACAAGGGAGGCGACTACCATGAAACTTGAGAATATCACCAACAAACTAGGATTAGGCAGTGTACTCAATTTTTAACAATCATAACATTAGTTGCATGTTTCTGAAATAGCAAAATAGTCATAAAATGAATTTAATAGCAGCAGCAACAACAACAAATAGTAAATAGAAAGTATATAATAATAATAATAATAATAATAATAATAATAATAATAATAAATTTCAATTTTACAACTATATAAACTATCGGGATCTCATCTATTAATATGTAATTAAATTTTAAAACATAAGAGGGTCTGATGGTGTGCATGAGTGTTCGTATGTGTATATTAGCTATAATCTGTTCGATATATAGTAATTGATGTACAATAAAGGTGTGAAAAAAATAAAAATGGAAAAAACGACGTCTAGTTCTCGAAAACTTAAAAAATAGAGTTGAAACAACGGTTCCGATGGTGTTCACGGATGTACATATGTGTACACTTGATGAAACACAGTTAATACACTTGATGAAACACAGTTATTTATTTTCATTGGGTGAAAATAGTGGTATATGTTAACTGATTTTTAACTTATAGCTTAACCTAGTCAAAGAACATTTCGTCGGTATATTTCCGACGGAAAATTCCGTCGGTAATCTGTTACAAAACTGTCTGAAATCCGATACAAATAATTACCCACGAGGCTTTTTACGACATGCCTAATTCAGTCGGAAATCAGCTTTACCGGCAGATTTACGACGGATATGGCCTTCAGAAATTGCCCAGTTTTCTAGTAGTGGTACACATATCAAAATGTACAAGTGTGCTGCTATTATGGTTATAAAATAAAGTATAATGCCATAAAATGAAAAGAAGTGTTAACACATTGATATTTTGGGTAGAATGGTATAAGTTGGTTTCTTTTATGGGTAAAAGATATAGTAGATTATTGCATATATTTATAGTGAGACTAAAGTACGATTGATGCACCCTACAATTTACCCTTAGCATTTTATCAAATAATTTTGTGTAAGTCGGAAATATGTGTAAGTCGGAACTATGTGCAAGTCTATTAGTATATATTGGAGTTTGCCGTTTTTATTAAATATAACTTTGATTAAACAGATAAGGATCTTTAACAACTATTTGCCAGGAGATTTTGTTTTTGATAGTTAAAAACATAAAATAATTATGCACTGGGATCTCTTACCTCTAATACAGGTAAACATATATGTAAATTAACCAGGTCCTTTCAATGGGACGATCATATCAATAATAGACCATCCAGTTTAGGAATTAGCAAGGATACTTCATACATTGAAATAAAATGTGTATAAAGATGCAAACCACAAACCCTCAAATGGATTTGGCATGAACAAAGTTTGAAGATTACTACAACATCTCCACAATCTACATTGGATGCTTATGTAAACAACGACACACACTCGAAATATTAAAACAGCACTCTTATTATACATAAAAAGTTTGGCGTGCAACAAATGAATAAAATCATATATGTGATTGAGCTATAAATTAAATATTTAAAATTCGTCAATTCGTTTAATAATTTTGATGGTCGTCTGGTCTATAAAGCTTCAACCAACGGTTGTTCAATGGTTGGATGGGTCTTGCATTAGCCTCTGCCTCCTGTTACACGTACCATCAGCAAAAATAAATACACATACAATATTTATATATATAAAAGAGTCAATAGAATAAATAAAATACGTTATACACACTTACGTCATGAACAGCTTTGCGGATTGCATGCACTTGTGCTCGTGAAATTGTTCTTACCTGAATATATAACATTGCATGTTAGTTTAATTCCTTATCATACGATAAATAACAATTAAAGTTAATTCACAATGATGGAAAAATAAATAAAAGTTAATTAGTACCTTCTTAACAATGGTCCAAATAACATTTTGGTAGCATGGAGGAGTAGTAAGTGAGCCAATATATCGATAATATTTTCTGCTACCAATCTTAATTTTTCGTGGGTCGATTATTCCAACACTTTTTTCAACATCTCTCGTAGAAGCTAAGGCTTTAAAAAATGGTTCCATCTGACCATGTATTTCAAAAGCAAGATATCAAGATTTTATACAGAACAAAAAATTATAAGTTAATATATAATATTGCCAAAGAAAAATATTTGTTGACGTACCATTGATAGAAGAGAATTAGGACGACCGATCTTGTACATGATTCCAACTACTGCAATTTTTCCATTTGTACTTTCATGAACCATGTGTAACTCTAGATTGAATCTGTAGGTGTCACGAAAATTAGTGTTTTTGGTTGAAATCTTGTTATACTTACTAAAATGAGTTATTATAATTTATAACATTTTTTATTAAAAAATGAGAGTAAATTATGGTACCTTCGGCCATTGATGGTGTGTTCTGTAGGGGTGTGCCAATGAAGCTGGTTAAGTTGATACTCAGTACCGTTTATATGAATATGTCCTGCTCCTCCAACAAATCTCAACTGTTGATCATATAAATAAACTACATATTATTATAATAACAATACTATTATTTAAGTAGCTCACATATATAGAAAGAGTCTTAACACTTTTTGCCTCTTAATTGTTTAATATTTTTAAAGATTGATTGTTTACTTACCATCATATCGTGACCTCTATTAATAAGAGTTGAGTTTGCAGGCTTATAATCTCTATCAAGTCTTCCAAGATTCGAAGTTGTTTGAACCCTTTTATGTGTAAGATCAATGGGTGATTGCAAGTCTCCTTGGTTACACATGCTCCACTCGGGATGGATCTCTCCCCAATGATCCGGCCCGTTTGGACTGTTCACATCGTAAGTGAACTCACTTTCATCATCTGCATATTAACATTGTATTTAGAGGGCACGAAATATTAACAAATAAACAACGAAAAAGAAATATTTATAATGTTGAAAGTAATATATTACAAGAACTTACCAACTTCTTGAGCGATAGCAAAAGGTGCATAGAAGACAATGATAAGAGCAATCAAGATTGAAGAAAACCGTAAACTTTTGTTATCCATTTCTTTATGGTTATGGGAAATCTTTTCGGGTGTTTGTATAAGTTATCGATCGATATTTGTGAATGTATGTATATATATAGAGATGAATAGGGGTTAAGAGGATCAAAGGTGTGAATTCGGAGAAATGACAGTTTGATATTGACCAAAGACCATGTTTGAATTCATATAAAAGACATGGAAATCTTTTATTTGTAATGAGTGTTAATTTAAGAAATTTCTTCATTGTTTGGGGCAGGTGAATTAAGTTTGAAGTTTTGGAACACTGGTAAAAGTTTCCAGATGTGTATACAATAAAATATTAACTAAACTCAAAAGACAAACACAAACAGTATGCATTAAGGATTGGTGGCTCATGTATTGTTACATTATTGAAATTAAATATTTTAAACGTCTATGATTAGAAAATTCAAATGAAAATTTTCTATTAATTAGTCCCTTCTTTCAATTGAATGCTTCTATTTTGACATGCAGTCGATTTTGAAACTTATAAATTACTGCGATAAAAATAAGCACTCTTTTTGAACTTAATGAATATGAGATAAACTCATTTCTTAGAAATTTGTTAAATAAAAAAAACTATGATTACATAAAAAATTAAGTCAAAGGAAATTTAACAACATTAACTTTCCATTTTAATGTATAGCAAAATAATTCAAACATCATTTAATGTACTAACTAATAATTATTTTAGTTTGGTAGTTAATGTTTTTTGTAAATCTTTGTTCATTAATTTTTAAAAGTGCATCTCTTTAACCATCACAAACATGTTTTATATATATATATATATATATATATATATATATATATATATATATATATATATATATATGGTTAGGTTATTTTGTTTTTACTAACTATTATGTGCCAGAATGCATAGATCTGGACAATCGAATGAAATTAATCAATGGACATGATTTGAGAGTGTATGATATTACAATGAGATAACATGCACCATATAATCACACAAATTTTAGGAAAAGGGTATTTTGGACAATTAACTACATTAAAAAAGGAAATTTCAGATTTTTAGGGATTATTAATTCTCCTAATTTTAAAAATCTGAATTTTTTTTAATAATTCAATTTTAATTCTAACGTAATTTGTAAACATAACCGATTTTATTCTATCAGAATTTTTTTTTGCTAGAATGATGTTTTTTCAGAATTTTATTCTATTAGAATATTATTGAAGAATAACAAAATTCTTGAATCCGAGGTTGAAAAATAACAACATTCTAATATATTTTTATACATCCGAACTTAAATACAAATTCATACATATTCTTACAGACTAAAAGCTTTATACATTTTAATATAATTGTATATATTCTAAAAGAATATCAACAAAAATGAATAAACCTCTTAAAATAATAACAACATTCTTAAATCATAAGTATGATCAAACTTTATTCATTCTTCAAGTTATTCCTATTAGGTCTTCAACACATTCTTCCAGACATTCCTATCACAAATACAACAAAAACTAATAATGGTTAAAAACATGTTACTTGCAATTAACTATCACTTTATATATTCTGGTAGAATACATAGAATATGATAGAATACATAGAATACATTCTGGCAGAATAAATAGATTTTATTCTGGCAGAATACATTCTGACAGAATACATAGAATACATTCAAAAGTATTGTATGTACTGCTAATATAATTTTAGATTCCAAATATACAATAACGAGGGACAATAGAAATTGGAATTCAAAATCACAAATTGAACCAAAATAATACACAGACAAATTAATTACCTTTTTAAACAATTACTTAGAACATGTGTTGTTAGTAATTCTGACAGAATGCATACCACAAGGTTAAATTCTTTAGATTCCCTTTCAGGCATTTCAACAAACACTTGTTAGGCATTATCATCAAACAAGCCAAAATCCTGTGAAAGGCTTAGTGTGATCGGAAGCAAAATAAAAAAAACATAAATTCTTTAAAGAACATCAAAGTTTAAGTTTTTCAATACCGAGACTTGGAAAAAAATACTTACGTGAATGAAATATCTCCAAAAAGCCGATACATGGAAATCGAGAATGGTATGCAAGAACGGAATGCAAATCATCATCTTCAACCCACTAATAACAATATTTTGATAATCAGCGACAAGAGAAAATGTGGAGGCAGTAATGGTATCGATCGATGGTGATGCAACCTATGATGGGAAGAGAATCGACTGCCAACAAAGAATTCTAACTCTGACGTCCTATCTTTTTCAATCGCAGGAGGGTCATGGATGAGGTCCGACCCTCCTATCTTTTTCGATCGTCGGAGGGTTAATCAGGGGGGAAGAAGGTTTGTGTATAGGATTGAGATAAATGGTTTCTGAAGGACGAACGTATGGAAGAAATCCGAAGGTTTGATTATTAGGTCAACATATTAATTTTGGTGATTGTAAATCAAATCCCCCATTTATCTCAATTACTATAATGTTAGAGTCATGATTTACTAATTTACCCTTATTAATTTATTTAATGATTAAATTATTGTTAAATTCTCATTGGTCTATACATGCATACAATACTTGTAGGAAACATTTGAACTTACCTATATATATATATATATATATATATATATATATATATATATATATATATATATATATATATGGAATTTTGTAACGCTCTGTTCCGAATTGACTCCTAGTCTGAGGCTGTGGCTCAAAGGTCGGTCATTATAAGGATTATGGCTTTGGGAAGGTAAGATCTAGGCCCATTTGGGTGCGGGTGATGTACTAGAAGTGATCCGGGTGTGCGGTTCGTGCTTTGGAGCCTAGGGGGTATTTCGGTAAAGTGGCAGTTCGGGCTTTTATGGAAAATGGATTTTTGTTCGGAAGGTCTTAAGAAAGGTTTGAGTTGATAGAAGTGTAGGATTTCTCGTCACCTTTCTGTGGATATAAGGATCATCAGAATCGGGCTTATAACGAAGAAGTTATGGCCTTCAGAAGTTTCGTGGTTTTCAGGCTTAGCCGAGTACGCGGGGCGTACTAGTATTGGAGTACGCTGGGCGTACTGACCAGGATGGTCGCGAATGTTCTTCAGAGGACGTTGGGCATACCAGAATTACGCTGGGCGTACGCCAGTCAGATCAGAACCCTATTTTAGGGTCGTGGACCCTATTTAAGCTCCTTATCTCATAACCTAACCCTAATATCTTCAACCTCCACCATCTAAAACCCTAGAAATCGTCTTTAACCATTTATGGTGGCATTTTGAGCTTATGGAGTCCATTTTTGGAGTATTTGGCCCATTTTCAAGAAGATGGTGCTTGTTGCAAAGATGGGAATCAAGGAGGAGCTTATGGATCTAGCTTTTAGGACTCATTCTCAGCTTGATGAAGGTATAAAGCTTTGAACTTGATCATTCATCTCTTAGATCTACCATTTTTGGGTTATGGTTCCTTTTTGGTCCCAAGGATGAAGCTTTATGGTTCAAATTCGATTCTTAGACTTGGGGTTGCCACCCATGATGCTATTTGAGTCCCTAAGATAGAAAGTTTCCATCTTGAAGGTCTTAATGGGTTCATGCATGAGTCAGGGTCCCTTTTATGGAAGTAGAATGCCATTTTGGAGTTTGGGTTTGTTTGGGGCATGCAAAGTCACCAAGTCAGTGACTTTATGGATTAAGACGTTAGGTAGAGTTCAGATCTGTAATTTGGTCCCTTGGTTTGAAGCATTAAGCACTTAATGGATTTTGTGCATCAGCCGTTTGTACGTTGGGCGTACAATGTAGTACGCTGCGCGTACAACCCTTTTGCCCAGTACGCTAAGCGTATAGAAGAGGTACGCTGGGCGTACATTCTCAGGAAAACTTGGGCCTTTGTGGACTTTGGACCTTTAGGCCCTAATGGTTTTGGGCCTGGGATTGCTGATAGCTGGTCCTGAATGTATATTTGGGTCAGTAATGGAATAGTTGGGCCTATTGGGCCTTGTGGCCCAGTATAGAAATGGACTTCGCATTATGGGTCTCGGTTTGGGCCAATTCTTGGACTAGGTGGCTGTGGGCCTTCGTAGGCCTATTGGGGACAGGATTATTGACTAAGGCGAATATTGGGCTTTAGTATAAGGTCCATTAGAAAGGTCCGGGGCCAATTTGGAAAATTGGGCCATTGATGGTATTATGGACATTATAGTGTCGGGCTTTCGTTTTGGGTTTGGGCCTTAGTTTGGATCATTCTAGACCAGGGGTAGAATGGTCATTTTACCCCATGCATGGATTAAAGATTATGGTATGGGACCCAATTGCTAATTGGGTATATTCTTTGGTAGTGACAGCTCGGGAAGTTGGCGGGGCAGCAACTAAAGAATTCATGCGGGAAGCTTCTGTAGTGTGAGGTGAGTTTTCTCACCATACCAATGGGTCTATGGCACCAAGGCCGGCCCATTTTGTGATAGTTCGTATACTTTCTGGGTAGGGGTGTGTGGCATATTTATGCATTGATACGTGGTAGAGATAGCTTTTACAGCTAATGGTAGAGGTAGCCTTGGTGGCTAATGGTAGAGATAGCCTTTACGGCTAATGGTAGAGATAGCCTTTACGGCTAATGGTAGAGATAGCCTTTGTGGCTAAGGGTAGAGATAGGCTTTATGGCTAAGGGTAGAGATAGCCTTTGTGGCTAATGGTAGAGATAGCTTTATAGCTAATTGATATGAGATATGTGGTAGAGGTAGCTTTTATAGCTAATTGATATGAGATATGTGGTAGAGGTAGCTTTTATAGCTAATTGATATGTTATATGCGGTAGAGGTAGCTTTTATAGCTAATTTGATATGTGTTATGTGGTAGAGGTAGCTTTTATAGCTAATATGATATGTGGATTGTGTATGTGGTATGCTCTGGGGAACTCACTAAGCTTCGTGCTTACGGTTTACAGTTTTGGTTTCAAGTTTCATCGGTTGGAAAAGAAGGGCTCGTAAATTTTACCCTTGATTTTTGGGTCATTACAAGTTGGTATCAGAGCCTTGGTTAGAGGGATTCAGACATATT